AATCGACTATGCTCTGGTAGTCGATTAAGGTTCATCGACTCCAATTTTTTTTTTTTTTTTTGGATTTTTTGTTTATTGTTTTCAATTGTATAAATCATTTGTAATATTTGTATATTTTTTGTTTTTGCTATACATAGTTGATTTTGTAGTTTTTTCGCAGTTGTGATTTGTTATTTTTAGTTGCAGATTCTTAATCGACTATGCTTCACATTATAGTCTATTACTATAACTGATATTAAACCGAAATTTAAAACCAAAAAAAAAAAATTAAATAATTAAATAATTTCCTTAATCGACTATGAAGCATAGTCGATTAAGGCTAATCGACTATGCTTCATAGTCGATTAAGGAAACTGATACAGAAAAGACGGAAGAAAAAAAACGGAAAAAAAAAAAAAAAAAAAAAAAAAAAAAAAAAAAAATCGCTGAGCGTGACCCAGTGATGATGTGGCGGATGGGGGCAAAACTGGAAAGTATAATGGCTGAAAATAGGTGTGGACTTTTTTCAAATTGACAAAAATATTTTGGGCCTCCCTCAATTAAAAAAAATAATGAGGGGGTTTTCTCAAAGAGCCCCTTAGAGAAAATCCCTTTCCCTTTAAACTAATCCTCATAACAAATCTAAATTGTCTAATATATCTCTTTAATTTTTTTATTTTTTTTTAGTTTGCAATTGCAGTTTCATTGATCCTGTCCTTGAATGTGCCAAAGAAATTTGTTGAAGTTACATCTGCTTCAAGTTACAGTGTTCAACAGATTGTATACACTACTGTACTATTAGTAAAAATTATATAAATTTAAATAATAAAATAAACAAATAGTTCTTTAAAATAATAATAATAAAAATATAAATAAATCAACGAAAATGCTAAATGCATAACAAGAAATGCCGAATGCAGTTTGGCCGAAAATTGCATATAAGAGTTGTATATATAGTACTTTCGCATCTCTAGGGATATGCCAAATGATGTTTTTTACTTGTGTTGAAAATTAGGGACCTAATAAATTAGGTCCCTAATTTATTAGGCACCTAATGGTGTATATAAAATAAGCTCTTATATTTAATATGTTAAAGCATATTTTAAATTTATGTTGAAAATATAATAAAAGTATTTAACAAAAACAAACGATACTGCACTTACAAGGTCTACATGAAAATACTATTAAAAAAAAAAGTTTGGTCTACATAAATAAACTGATAAAAGTACGTACACAATAATGAAGTAAACAAAAGACTATATGTTGAGTTTTTAAATGTGTTGCTTATCTCTAAGATATAAAATAATAAAAAGAGATTTATATATCTATATAATATGTTTATAAATATAATATAACTTAAAAGATTTATACATCTATATAATATAATTTTAAATCTAATATAACTTAAAGATATTATAGTTTATAATATCTGTGAACACAATTTACAAAGATATATTTTTATATTTTGCTAGTATTTTTAGTTTTTCTTATATGAAATTCCGTTGACATATATAGGGGTAGAAATCGGACATAATGGATTAGAAATGGGGTTTTTTCGAAAAAAAATCATTTTTTCCCTTTACAAAATGGGTTCCAGTTTCTGTTAAAAAAAAGTCGGAACACAAAAACTTATTCCGATTTCGGAATGTCTCAGAATCGGCAGGATTTTTGACATCATATTAGTTTATAATCTCTTGTTCCAATTCGGATACAATGAAAATTTTCACAATATTTTTCTATCTTTTTTTGAAATTTTGCAGGAAAATGCAAGAAAATCTAAAAGAAAGTTCGACAATATGCAATAAATAAAAACACATGTAGAAACAACAAAATGAAACATAAATTTTCTATAAGGATACAATGCAACTTAAAGTTTCTGATACCAATTAATCATTTCTAAGATTTTAATTTACTTGTCCCTTCGGTATTTGTATTTTTCATTTAAGAATAACATAAGTTAATATTATTGAATTACAAAATATATCGTGAGTTATATTATATATTTCGGAAAACCGTAAATATATTCAGAACTAAAATCGGCTCGGGAATCGGAATTTTCGGTAATTTTATATACCATTCCGGTTCCGTTCTAAATAAATTTAGAAAAATTGAAAATTAGCACTTCGAAAATCAGAATAAAAAATACGGTTCCAAATTCGGATACTTTCGGATTGAATTTCGCACTTCAAAAATTTCATTCCGATTTCCGTCCCTAGACAAAATATGCTTTCTTTCTTTGCATAATTTGTAAATTTTAAAACAAACATTATGTAATTTCCAAAAAAATAAAATATTATTTTGTAAATTTAAATTATGAATAAGGAAAATTATTTATTTTAAATTAGTTATTGTAACTTTTAAATTGCGTAGAAACCCGAAAATGTAATTTGAAATAATCACGATACATTTTGAATCGTGAAAAGGGTCCAACTACGAATAACTGGGTCGGCCCATCATAAGCGCCATCTTAAAAGAAACCCGAAACCCTAATTTTGTTACAAATATCAGCAACTCAGCGTTCATTAGGGTTTCACAGTGCATTTTAACGGCATTGTATTTGAAAATTCGGTGAGAATATTGACTCGAAGTCCGGTCATTGGGGTCATTAATGTCTATGATAGCTTTCGTGATTTTAACGGCAATGTAAAATTAGTGAATATACCCACCTTAGGTATTTTAGAGTCTAGTACATACTGTCACGGACTTGAACCTCGGTCAAGTATCGTACGCCATTAGCCATGAATTAGCGCCCTGTACGCTAATTCGATCTTCACCCCTTACAAATAAGCTAAGTCGGCATCACTCGAAAGTACACAAGAGTGTATGCAAATGTTTATGAAATAACAAGTGTTGAAGAATGCTTAGAAATGCTCTCAAGCTTTAGACTCTTTGATTAATAAATTGTTGGATGATTACAAATGAATGAGCCTAACCCTAGTTATACAACTCCACCTCCTCAATGGATGGTGGTGATCATCTTGATCGAAATGCTACGATTAAGTCCTACGATCTCCTATCAAATATATATACAAAGGAAGATCCTCTAAGGATCTATACATTAATGGGAGGATTTTAGAAGACTTTCTAGAATCATCTACTCTTGGGATTAATTGGGCTCCCTTCGTATTGGGTTCGCTTGACGGGTCGACTGTAACCCCTTGGTACCAGGCATAATGGGCAGCCCATTACATTAGGGAATCCTCATTGTCTTGTGATTTTATGAGTTTCATTATAATTTAGGGTATCTATAAAGATCATGTTAATGAGGGTGAAAAAGTTAATCTCGAAGCCTTTTGGTTTGAAAATAAACCTTTGATTTGGGTGAATCGAGAAAATTGCTCAAATCTAGAGTCACAATAAATAGACTATTTATTATATTTCCCGAAAACAACGCCAAAAACTTGTTGGTGAATATACCTACACGCAAGGCACTTATCGTAAAAGTAATATAATGGACTAAAAGTCCAAGTATCGATCCCACGAGAAATATTTAACCATCTAATCATAAGCGCTAGATTATCGCAACTATGTTAAAGCACAGCCTACACAGTCGACTCTGAGATTGATTAAGCTACATCAAACTAAATTATAAAAATTAAATTAAAAAACAAGCAGAAACAAGTAAGCAAATAGCACGAAGATTGATCAAATTAAAATGGTCTAGTCAGGGCCGAGTCCAGGGAAGTAGACACGGCCACGGGCCGGTTCGGGCCGGTTCCGGGCCGGTTCGGACCGGTTCACGGTTCACATTTTCCGGAATCGGAACCGGCCCGTGGCGTGCACGGTTCACCGGGCCGGGTCGGCCCGCCGGTTCGGGCCGGTTCACGGGCCTATCCGGGCCGGTTCCGGGTCGGCCCGAAAATTTTGAATTTTTTTTTTTTTTGAAATATTTAATGAATAAGTAAATTACAAGAAATACTTTTAAATAGATAAAGGAAAAGGAAATAAATTAAAAGTCAATTTAGAAGCACAAGTTTGAAATATTTGATGAATAAGTAAATTATAGGAAAAATTGGGGTGTGAGGGTATTTATAGGAAAAATTGGGGGGTTTGGGGGCAAAAAAAATTCAAAAAAAGCAAAATTGGGGTGTAAGGGTATTTATAGGAAAAATTGGGGGGGAAAAAAATTCAAAAAAATTCAAAAAAAAGTATATAACGGCCGGTTCAGTAGACGTTATTTGCTTTTTTTTGAATTTTTTTGAATATATATTTTTTTTTAAATCCAGGTGAACCGCCGGGCCGGCCCGGCGGTTCACGGTTCACCAAATCTAAGAACCGGGCCCGTCCCGGGTAGGACGGGCCGGTTCACACGGTCAACGGGCCGGTTTGGGCCGTCAACGGGCCGGTTCGGGCCGGTTCCGGGCCCAAAACCGGCCCGTGGCCGTGTCTACAGGGAAGAACCGGATTTTTAATCCAGGTACCCAAGTTTTAGTTACATTTATTTGACCAAAAAATGCTTTGGTTGAGGGTCAAACTCAGATTGCTAAAAAATGCATCACTTTATTAACTACTGAGATCTTTGAAAAATAACTAACAATAACTATATATAACATAAACTAAAAGTATAAAATGATATAATAAATAATGTTAAATATATTATTAATTATCATATTCATTGTTATTAAATAATGGTAATTAAATTATTGACAAATGTAATATAATAAAAAAATAAAATAAAGTAAAAATTAAATTGACAGGACTTGAGGTCAATCCACGATTCAAATATTAGAATAAAATGTAAATGTAAAATTAAATTATGAATAAGGCAAATTATTTATTTTAAATTATTATTGTAACTTTTAAAATGTGTAGAAACCCGAAAATGTAATTTGAAATAATCATGATACATTTTGAATCGTTAAAAGGGCCCAACTAGGTATAACTGGGTCGGCCCATCACAATTGGCATCTTAAAAGAACCTAAAACACTAATTTTATTACAAATATCAGGCCCAACTACGTATAAATTATACGGGTCGGCCCATCACAATTGGCATCTTAAAAGAACCCGAAACCCTAATTTTATTACAAATATCAGCCGTTCATTAGGGTTTCACATTCACAGTGCATTTTGGAGCAAACGTTTTCTGAGCCGCAGCCATGGTAACTTCATCCTCCTTGCTTGTTTCTTTCCTGTAGATCTTGTCTTCTCAAAAATCAAACCTTTTCGTTACATTTCTGTTTCGATTTAGCCTATTTCGCTGAAGTAAATTCGTGGAATTAGTGCTTTTACAATCTGTTTCTGTTTTTGCGTTTGTGTATTCTGGATTTGATCTTCTTTTTCTGAGTATTATGTGTGAATTTATTTGTCTAGGTTCGATATGTTTTAATATATATTCTGAGGTTTCTTTTGCGACATGGGTTAATTAGTTAAAGAAATGACTGTTGGGAATTATTGTGTTTCTTTTTTGTAATTTATTGTGGCCATGTTTAATTTTCATTTTATTTTTATTTCTGAAAGAATTATTTCTGGAAGAATTATGTTCAATATTATACTGATTGTTGTTTGAGCTGAATACACCTTCACTTCAAATATTTTGTCGATTTTACAAACAATTTAGCTATATTCGACATGTGAATGTGTGGTAAATAATCCCATTTGCCAGCCTTTGAATATTAAAATTTTGGATTCCATCAATATTTAATTAATTTGAAAAAGAGTTGGAAGAAAATATTTCGTCCTAGATTTGTATTCATCTTTATGTTTTGTAATATACATGTAATATACATCCTAGATTTTGAAATTAATTTGAAAAAGAGTTTGTGATTTGCGAGTGACAATGTTTTTTCTTGATTTCCTTGTTATGACATGTTTTTGTGATGTGTACGTATTGCACAGGTGAACGTACCAAAGACAAAGAAGACTTTCTGCAAGTCGAAGGAGTGCAAAAAGCACACCCTGCACAAGGTTACCCAGTACAAGAAGGGTAAAGACAGCTTAGCTGCTCAGGGGAAGAGGCGTTATGACCGCAAGCAATCTGGTTATGGTGGTCAGACCAAGCCTGTTTTCCACAAGAAGGTTCAATATTCTATAAATTACTATCTATTGTAATTAAATTAAATTAACCTTGCAATAAGACATTGTGATATGCTAATGAAATTAATCTGTGTTTTTGTTATCTTTCTCTAACAGGCTAAGACAACTAAGAAGATTGTGTTGAGGCTGCAGTGCCAGAGCTGCAAGCATATGTCCCAGCACGCGATCAAGGTTCGTGTTTTTCAGTTTTTGCAGATTTTGTTCTGAATAATTTTATTACATATGCATTTCACTCACTACTGTTTTATTTGTCGAATTGTTCTGCAGAGGTGCAAGCATTTCGAGATTGGTGGGGACAAGAAAGGAAAGGGAACTTCGCTGTTTTAAGTGCATCTGTTCGGAAATTGGAACTATTGGCTTTTTGCATCGTTTTGTTGAACTATGGAAATGTTCTTGCTGTTTTAGATTTATGTTTGTTGAAATCTCGGATATCGTATAACTCGGTTTTGTGTTTACTTTATTGGATTATGATTTATTTTCAGTAGTTAATTAACGTCGTCACTTTACAGTTCTCATCTCTCACAATATATTGCAAGGTTACTTAGGCTGTTTTTATGTGGTCTATATTGCATGTTTATTTTCTTCTAACAAATTGCTCAGCAGTGAAATCATTATCGATTTCACTACTTTGCCTATAGAGAAGTTGCACGAGCATTTCTCTCTCGCTGTACTTTTGATGTACTGTGACCCGAGTATTGCAACGAAATTGAGTCAATGTGAATTTGCTGCAGCAAATCAGATTCAATAACCACCAGATTCTTCCTTTAGGCAACAAATCAGTTGATGCATATAATTCATGGGCTTCAATATAACCTTCTTTTGATATATTTCATTATTAATAATTTATGCAAGTGAATCATTTTCCTTGATAGAATTCATCTCTTGGTGATGAACTTTAGTTGAACCAGAGTGAATTCGGTTGACTATACGAGATTCTGTTGAAAGTAGCTTATAGGATGTTTTAGATTTTTTTTAAAAAATACCTCTACATTATTTTTTTAAGATTTTATTAGCTGTTTAAAATAAGCTTAGCCAAACTTCCTTTTTGTCGAACCAAAATGAATTTAGTTGACTATATGAGATTCAGTTGCATCTTCAGCGGCAGATGCAATTCACGAGAAGTAACTTTCAATTTCTTTCTCTACAAAAGTTGACTTTTCATCTAATTTGTTATTTTAGAAAATTTTGAAATAATAACATTAAATAAAATTGGAATGAGGGGTTTAGGCATATTTTATTCTCTCAACAGTGTAACGATTTATATTTCATATAAATTTCTCATGTCCAACTCATATCCAAAAACAGTTGTATCAGTACTTGGGGTGTTTTAAAGTAATATGTTTAGGGGTAATGACAAATAGGCCCATGACAAGGGCACTTAATTAAAAGAGGGACATCCAATTTTTTTGTCTATCAAATAAATCCAACCCATTCAAACTTATTTGCAAATAAGGAAAATCCTTTCATATATACCAAAATTACCCCCAATTCATTGAAACTCAATTCAACTCCAATTTCATGATTTACACCCCAATTTAGCCCAATTTCATCAATTAACCAATTTTAACAATAATTTCAATTTTGATCCCAATTTTAACCCTAATTCTTATCAATTCCACCCATTATGCTCTAACTTCCTTAATATTACACATTGACCCCGGATTTAAACAAATATATCACATTAACCCCCAAAACTTTTTTTTTTGCAGAAAATAATTTTTTTTTCTGAAATATTTTTTTTCCGGCCAGATTCCGGCGTTGACCGCCGGAGACCACCGGTCTCCGGCGTTGACTTTTTTTTTTTTTTTTTTAAATTTTGTTTTTCTTAAAAAAAATACTTTAATTAATTTTACTGTCTTGGCTGCTAAATTACTGTCTCCGGCAGCTATTTAACTGTCGGAGACAGTAATTTAACTGTTAATTGACTCTTTTTTTTTTCTTCAAAAATATTTTAATTAATATTACTGTATTCGTTGCTAAATTACTGTCTCCAGCAGTTATTTAACTGTCGGAGACAGTAATTTAACTGCTAATTGACTTTTTTATTCTTAAAAAAAGTATTTTTAATTAATATTATTGTATTTGTTGCTAAATTACTGTCTCCGGCAGTTATTTAACTGTCGGAGACAGTAATTTAACTGTTAATTGACTCTTTTGTGTTTTTTTTTTCTTCAAAAATATTTTAATTAAAATTACTGTATTCGTTGCTAAATTACTGTCTCCAGCAGTTATTTAACTGTCGGAGACAGTAATTTAACTGTTAATTGACTTTTTTATTCTTAAAAAAAGTATTTTTAATTAATATTACTGTATTTGTTGCTAAATTACTGTCTCCGGCAGTTATTTAACTGTCGGAGACAGTAATTTAACTGTTACTTGACTTTTTTTATTTTATTTTATTATTTTTTTCCTTAAAAATAATTATTTTAATTAATATTACTGCCTTGGAAGTTAAATTACTGTCGCCAACAGTAATTTAACTGTCTTAGACAATAATATTAATAATATTACTGTTCGGAAAAAATAATATTCGTAATATTACTGTCCTAGACAGTAATATTACTGTTTGGGACAGTAATTTAGTAGTCAAGACAGTAATATTAATTAAAATATTTTTTTTCTAAGAAAAACAATTCGAAAAAAAAAAAAAAAAAGTCAACGCCGGAGACCGCCGGTCAACGGTGGTTGACCGGCCGGAAAAAAATTTCTGGAAAAAAAAAGTTTCAAAAAAAAAAAGTCAATGTGGGTTAATGTGATATATTTCAAAAAAAAAATTTCGGAAAAATAATTATTTTCTGAAAAAAAAAAGTTTTGGGGGTTAATGTGATATATTTGTTTAAATTTGGGGTCAATGTGTAATATTAAAGAAGTTAGAGTATAATGGGTGGAATTGATAAGAATTATATTATTGAGGGTATTTTTGACTAAAGACATAGGGATGAGCTTAATTGAGAGACTGTTTTTTTTGTGGATCAAAATGCATTTAAGTCCCATGTGATGGGCCTTTTTGCCATTTGCCCATATTTTTATTTTAATACATTTAATAAGATTTTTGTAAAAATAAAGAATCGTGAGAATTAATCACTTTAAATAACAAAGAAAGACGAGATGTCACAGTCAGCCTATTTTGTATCAAATTTTTATGATAATTCGCCGAAGGGGTTCTCAACTTCTCATTGGAATTGAAAAAAAAAAAAGAAAAAAACTCATTTGAGATGACCCTAGGGAGTTACTAAACTAGTGAAAAACCCAAGCTAAAATAATTATTTGAAATACCTAGGAAAAACAAAAATACTATAATGCCTTTACATGCAATTTTTGCCATCTACATTTTTAGCATTTTTGGTCTAATATTTAGCATTTTTGCGGTGTTTTTTTTTATTAAGTTTTTCCCCGATATATTTACTGTACTGAAAGCGATTACAAATAACTATAGTTGTTTGTAGTTATGCACCTTCGTTTTGCCCCTAAATTATGGTCGACCAATTATGTATGCACACGAATATCACTGCTTATTTATACAAATAAAAATAATCACCAACATCAACAACAATATTCACAATTTAAAATTTATATGATAAGTCAACTCGTAACCAATAAATGTAGATCGAAAAATACAAACACGTACATATGTTACAATAGGTTAGTTTACATAACTATAGTAACATGTAGTAATGTGTAGTCGACTATAAGTTGAAACATATGTCAAAATTCCCAAATTCGTCTACAATTTCAACCAGATTTTTGACAAGAATGCATCGTCTGTAAAGTGGTATTTTGCGGCAAAATGCATCGGAATGTTAAGCACGCGCTATTCACGTGAGTTTGGCGGGGGTGAATTTGTCTTTTCATTGGCAATAAAACACGTGGCGTCCACCTGTCTTCTTTTCCTCTATCCCTCGAATTCTCTCGTCAGAACCCACCTCCGTTCAATCCACGGGCTCTCTTTCTCAAATTCTTACCCAGAAGAAAATTATTAAATGAAAATAAAGAAATTTCGATCACTGCCCTCTACGAAATCTCGCTATAAAGGCTTCATCAATAGAGTCGGTTCGCGACGGGATGGTGGGAGGTTGTGGGTTGGGGTTTGGGCGATGGGTCTCGTTGTCGGAGTTGGGTCCTGGGTTGAATTGCTTAGGGGAATTCCGACGGCGGAAGGGGTGGGAATTGGAAGTGGCGCAGAGGAGTAATTTGGGCTAAGCAAGGATCAGAAACAAGAAAAAGAAAAATCAGGGGAAATGCAAAACTTGATTCTCTGTGATTGACAATTAGAGAGACGGAAAGAGATTTGGCAGATAACAAAAAAAGAAAAATGATAAAGTAAGGGAATTGCTATTTGCGGTTTATAACAAAAAACACTTTATTTCTTTACAACTGAAAAACTTCCAAAAATAAATCCAAAACCCCCCAAAACGTGTAAAAGCCCAACTTAGGCACCCATTCATGCAGTGCACGTCCAAGTTGGGCGTGCAAACTGCATTTGGGCACCCGAGTTGGGCGTCCAGTGCAATTTTTTTTTTTTTCTTTTAATTGAACGCCTAAGATGGACGTTCCAATATTTTTTTGCGGAAAAAAGCCCTACAAATCGATTTGTAGGGCTTATTAACATGAAATTGGTTCCATAATCGATCTACCCAATGCATATTACACATAAAAGAGTCGAAATTACATCAAAAAATCGAAGCCCAACCTTTCTTCAAGTTTTATTTTGAATTTTCGAATTTTTTTTTTTTTGCTATTTGCAGTTTTGGGAGTTTTTTGATTTTTTTGGAAAGTTTTGGGGGGATTTTTTATAAACCGCAAATAGCAATTTGGTGAGCGACAGCGTAAATAGCATTTCATTAAAGTAAGGAAAAATTAAAACTTAGTCAAGATGTGAGTATAGACAATTATACCCCTATCAATTTCACTTGTGGTGCGCGTGCACACGCCTCCAATGAATTTTGCCGGAATATACCACTTTTTGGGCACCGTGCAACAAAAACCCGAGTTTAGGTAGAAACGTGCAAAAAAAATTTGTTTAAGGGACAAAGCGCAAGATGGGTCTTAGTTAAGGGGCCACACTGCTTTTTACTCTACAAAGAATACCAAAATTTTAAATATTTGTGGCGCAGTTGCCAAATGATTATAGTCTAAGGGAGGTGGATGCCATTTTTTTTATTTTTATTTTGGGGCTGTGATTTCTAAATAAACATAGTTGGGGAAGGTGAATGCAAATTGCCCTTAAAATAATGAGTTCTTGATAGCCAAAGCTGATTATCGAGACTTTTAAAATGTTTAGTTATATATTGGAATAAATAAAATGGAAATCAGTTGAGTTTATGAATTTTCAAATACATTCTTATACACACACACAATTTGTTACCTTCATATGACAAAAAAAAAAAAAGAGAGAGAGAGAGAGAGAGAGAGAGAGAGAAAAGAAAAAGAATTATGAATTATCAAACCACGTTATGCAATATAAACTAAAATAAAAACCCATGAAAAAATCATTTTGGAAAAGTGACACAAACAAAAAACCCCAAAAGAAAAAATAGAGTGATAATTTATCCTAAGAAAAGTTCACATTGATTTGAAAATTGTTGTCTGCGAATCTCTCCGATGGATCCACATTATTATCCCAAAAGTTTTCAACTTGTAACTCATTCTCGAACTCAACTCGAACTTGAAGTCTCTCATTCCCGAGTCTCTTTTGTTCGCGGGCTATCTTGATTACCGAAATTGCCAAAGACTCGCTGCAACATTCCAAATGAATAACTCCAAGTGTCGGTATTTCTCCAATATCTAATGGTATCTCATCTAATTCATGCATTCGTTTGAACACAAGTTTCTCTAGGACCGGAAAATGGGACCGCTCTGCACTCCAAGAAAACAAATCACTACACGACCATATTAACAGGTATTTCAGGCGAAGGAATTCCCCCTCGACAGGAACCCAGTCAACTTGTACGAACGTAATAGTTATCAGTTTGAGAACTTCAAGATGGGGCAATGAACCAATCACTGTCAAATTCTCCAGAAACATCGCACAACCACTTAAAGTCAACTTTCTTATTGAACTTGAGAAAGTGAGGTTCTGCAGTAGATCAATACCTGGACAACCATCCGGCTGGTTATATGAGCAAATAAACGATTCAAGTTTACTCAAGCGGTCAAGATTGGAGAGACAATACTCATCTGTGCTCCCCACATCAGAATTAATGATTATTTCCAGTTTCTTGACATTGGGGACTCTCTTACAAACATCCTCACTCCACGTGAGGTTTACTACCCTCCGAAGCGTCTGTAGGTTCCGCAGAGCAAAGTCATCATCATCTTGGTCAATCGGAGGAGGGTCGAAAATCCATAGAGAATTGATGTATACATGCCTAAGTTGTCGCATCTCCCAAAATTGAGATTGAGCTGCGACTGACCCTCCGATAATTATCGTCTGCATATTCCAAAGTAGGGATACCGAAGAAGGAAGCTCACCATACATAAAGGTTCCCAAATTATATGCTTCATAAACAAAACACCGCAAGTTAACTTGATCAAAAATATCTTCATGTAAATCGATTTCATTACCTACAGATTGGTCATCCACTTTGAATACTCTCAACAATCTATTGTTGAGTGGCAATGGACACCTGTCGATCCGCATTCCTAAAGTACGGGTTGTGAGTGATGATGATTGCAAAGCGGGAAAGACTCGAGATTGGAACTCCTCTTCTGGAAGTATTTCATTGATTACAATGCGGCGTTCCTTATCCACACCTCGTGGAATGGATTCAATGGTACATATAAACTTTTCCTCATGGGCTATTTTTAGACACAAGTCTCTCAATAGATCATGCATTATACAATACCTAATTTCTCCATTCAACCCCGATTTATGCTTGACAATGAGATTCATGTCAATTAGATCACTTAAGTAATCTTTTGCAATCTCTTCTAAGCTTTGGGTTTTATTAGGTCTTATAAAACCCTCAGCAACCCAGAATTTGATATGTCTAGAGACATGAATCACACGTTCCTCTGGAAAAACTCCCATGTAAAGAAAACATGGTTTAAGATGGACAGGCATATAAGTATAACTCAAATATAATATATTCAAGCAATCCTCGTCTAATGCAGAATTCAAAGTCGAGAGTAAATCTATTGCAATACTTTTCGTGTATTCTTGCGTATTGTATGACCTTCCAAGAAGACCACCAACCACAACAATCGAAAGAGGAAGTCCTTTGCATTTTCTACAAATTTCCCTTCCGATATTCTCGAGTTCAAGAGGGCAATCGGCTTGACTAAATGCCTTTTCACAAAATAGTTCCCAACTTTTATCCTCATCTAGAAAATTCAACTCAATGCATGGAAAGCCAAGATGAATAGACACATTTCTTATCCTTGTTGTTACGATAATCCTACTTCCTTTGTAGTTATTTGGTAAATACCTTTTTAACTTGTCCCATGCTTCGACACAACAAATGTCATCCAATACAATCAAATACCTACAATCCATTAGCCTTACGTATAATAGTTCTCCTAATTCCTCATCAGTTTCACTATCGAGTTGACTACGTCGCATAGAAAGAAGTTGTAAAAGAATGTCGGTGAGATTATAATTTTCAGAGACAAGAACCCAAGAACGAATTTCAAAATATTGCGCAGTAAATGATTGTTCATAAACACGTTTGGTAAGTGTAGTCTTACCAATACCGCCGATGCCAACGACTGAGATGATTTTCCGATCGAATGTCTCTCCAACTAGACTCTCCATGAGTTGAGTAAACTCTTCTTCAAAACCGACCAAAGTATTATATTCTTGTCGCCGATAATTACGTGGTCTCGTTGAAGTAGTAGTAGGCATCGACTCTTTGGATCCGCATTCCTCTTTGAACTGCATAACCTCTTTCTTGATCGAATCCATGCCTTCCAAAACGGTCTGGAGATCGAGCAGAGAAATCATACCCGCATGAATTTGGTCGACTATATGAGATTCAATTACATCTTCAGCCGCATAGGCTGCTGATGCAATTTGGCTCTCAAGAACTTGTGCTTCCTTGCATGTAACTCCACGAGAATAGCCGGCTTCAATGAAATCGATCAAGAAATCAATCTCTTCGCCAAGAGATTCAGCCTGTTTTTTGTCAAGAGAAATTGAAAGGCGAGGATGATTTTGGATGTGATCCATAGTATTCAAAAGAGAAACTAGAGCGGCATAAGCTGCCATATCTAATCCTCTTATCTATCTTTTCAACTATGGAAAATTATATGAGGGAGTGAACAAGTTTTTTTTGTTGCAATGGAGAATGTGATGAAATGCATTAGTATTTATACTGGTGGTTAGATGCTAAGAAGACTTCGGCTAAGGCTTATGAATTATGATGAAGTATATTAATTTTTTTCTCCTACATGCTTCCCACAAACAATTACATAAATAATATTACATGCTGTAATGCCAATCCACTACTCCAAAATTGTTGTTTAGTGACAGAAATTAACCACGAACGATAGATCTGTTGCTAAGATGTACATCAGCAACGTAATACAAAATCGTCCTTTTGCTCATCGAACTTAAATTATAGAAACCGAAGTTAGCGACCGATACCAATTCTAAATCAAACATTTAGCAAGGGGCGAAACGAGGATCAAAATATAGGGGACCAACTAAAATTTCGGGGTTCGGGGCAGCAGCCTGAAAAAAAAAATTTAGGTTCACAAGACATTGCAAAAATAAGTTCATATATATATATATATATGTGAGTAAACTACAAAAAGTACCCCTGTATAATCTTCAATTAGCAAAAACCCCCCTGTGAAATTTAGTCAAAGGCAAAAACCCCCAGTTGACTTATGTGTGGCTCACTCGCGGGTTGCGCGACTGGTAGTTGGTTTTTGGACGTGAAATGACGAAATTGACCCTAAAAATGTATTTATATGTATATATATTTTCCTTTTAATTTGATTGTTTAAAAATTAAAATATTGTTAACAAAATAGTAAATATTTAAATTGAAAATTTATTAAAAAAATGTTAATCAAATTAAGTATAGATTTTTTTAAATACATAATAATGGAATTTAAGTTTTCTTTTGATGTACAGATAATTTAAAATATATACAAAAATTATGTGATAATAAAAATAGAATAAATTAAAGACCCTATTGTACCTTTATATTTAAGATATAACAAAAATAAAATAATTAAAATATTTTAAAAATATAATAATTTATTAATTGCAAAATCCCGAGGGTATTGGTGTCTTTTTTTATGAAGTCAACACTCAAATGAGAAATGGGCCGAGTGTGCTATTTAAATAATTTCACAGGGTTTTTTTTGCTTATCATAGGGGGGTTTTTCGGTACTTAGAGATTACACAGGGGTACGTTTTGCAGTTTACTCATATATATATACACACCGCCCATCCCCCGCTAAGTTCCGCCCCTGTATATAGCGACGCCCAAAAAATCCGTTTCAACAATATATAATTAGTAACGTCAGTTGGCAACGTACACTAATTTTGTTTCTAAAATAAATATTTAGCAACGAATGGAACGACAAAACATTTAGCTACGTCGCCTCAACTTGATACCCAATTTTTTTTTTTAATAATTTAGTAAATTAAATACTATGTCGTCTATATAATACTCTTTGAACTGCAAAATATTTATGAAGAATTATAAAAGTGTTGTTTATACAATGAATATGCTAAGATGGAGTAAGACATGTTCTCCTAACATTAAAAACAACAAAAAACAAATTACAGGAAAGAGATATTTGACGGAGACTTATGATGAATAGTATATATTTGATCGATGACTTTGGCCTAGTCTAAGTTATATGCTTATTACATGCTTCCCACAAATTGCCTTAGTTATTTAGAATGTGATGTTCGAATTTTGAACAAGTTTTCAACTTTAATATTCGATGAATTTGAGAATCACGTTATGATTTTGCTTTAAGTTGAGAAGAAGACTTTGTAATATAAAAACAACTTTTTTGTTTCTCAAATTTTTATTGTGTTACTTTTATTTTCGTGTAGCTATAATTATTTGTGTCAGATTCGTTTTTTGTTACTATTATGTGTTGTAAATGTTTCTAAAACAAAATTAAACGAGAGGCAAAATTTCCACATGGTTCAGATACAAACGTATCCTAATCCACGGCAACCTGCAAACAAATAAAATATTAATTTCAGTTTTACAAGTACAATAACTGGACTTATTAAAAACTAAAGGCTGCCTTCCCTCTTTACTCGAAATTGTGATTTTAAATTTGCATTACCTCTTTACAACGGCGAATACCTTTAGTCAGCGGATCAACCTCCTTCCGAAATCTTTTAAGCTTCTCTCCCAAAGAATCAATATTCATTCTGCGTAGAAGAAAACTTTGAGTCTAATTAGATTCCAAGGGTTATTAATCAATTTGTATTTCAGAGATGCGAATTCCTTTTGATAATTAATTTTCACCTCTTAGTTCTTAGCGTCTCTATCCAACGCACTGGGGTTTATTTGACTCAATATAGAAATCATGAATTAAATGTGAATCAAAGTAGAAATCATCAATTAAATGTGCACGTTAGTTATCTAGGGATTAAGAGGTTAACTATTTTTTTGTAAACTAGAAATAATGTAATTTCATATTTAAACAGTAATGAAACAATTATTTCACTTTGTCCGATTTAACACATGTCGGGTGTGCTAGCACAATAAATCAAAACAATAACTACAAAAGTTATTCTCTGTTTACCGTGATCAAGACCAATCACTTAAATATTGTGCTACAATATTTTACCAATGATTAGTCCAATTTCATCTAAACTGTGAACATTAATCTTTATATTCTAAACGAACTTTCAAAATGATATTTTTTTTTCCTAATACACCATTTGCAATACTATTAGAATAATACACATTGTACAATTAATTGATTGACTATTAATCAATACATAATTAAAAATACTTAAAACATTCATGCATTGGTTCTCACGAATGACTAAAATAAATAAACTTTATTAAAACTTGATTAACTTCTAATCTATAATCCTAAACATGTTGATCGCCGGCTCCCTCACTTTTTGTCGGAGCCGGCCCAAGCCCAAGGCGAGCAAGGCCATCGCCTTGGGCCTCCGAAAAATTGCAATTTTAAGGGCCGCCGATTTTACTAAATCTATATATACGCAGACATGTAAAATATTTTCTAAAACTGCATTTAGCTAAGATGGTAAAGGATACCCACAAGTGTAGCAGATCATGAGTTTGACCTCTAGGTGGACAAAATTGATTTTTCAGACTTTCTTTGCATTTTATTGGGTTTTTTTTATGTCTTTTTTCGTCGGGGTTTCATATTTTTTTAACTATTTCTATGATTGTCAATAAATCTCGAGAATTAATTAAGTATGTCTCTCATTATCTATATTCTTTATTTTTTTAATCCCATGTTTCCTTTTTCTTAATTGTGTTTATATTTTGAATTTAATTATTTGACTCTTTTGTATTATATTGTGTACTTTGTAATTTCATAGGTTTGATATCCCTCGATATTAGAAGATGAATTTGTGGAATTGTAGTTGAGGAATGAGTTGATAAGTCATAATGAAGTTGGTACTTAAAGGGGCCTCGATTTTTATTTTCGCCTCGGGCCTCCAAAGGCCTAGGAGCGGCCCTGCTTTTTGCTCCCTTATTTTTTCCTTTTTCTTGAGAGAGAGGGAATCGAGGACTTTACCCTTACATTTTTCCTTTCGAGTTCTTCGTCATCGTAACATTTTTCCATACATTACTCGAATTATTTCAAAAGTTCCCGTCTAAAATTACTACACTACTGAAGACTTACTCGTCCTTTAAAAAAAAAAATGCGAGTAGGGGGCTAGATTGCCATGAGAGTAACTCAAAGAGACGCCCCTCAATCGGCACATCTCGATTAATGTTGATGAACAGACCGAATGACAACAAGGTGTAGTAAAATTAAAATGTATTCTTAGCACACTTCTCTTCAGAATCGGGCGACCAAAAAGCAACGGTCCAATCAATGCGCAAAATTCAAAAAGATAATGATAGGGAAATCGAATTCCTCGCCCGGACATAATCAAACTCGCATATTTTCACTCGCCTACTTGAATATGATTACGAGTAGAGGACTAGTTGATCCGGACCAATTCCAGTCATTTCGGCCCATTGAGCAAGTCCAATCCAAAGAACACCCATAAGAGAAGTAAGGCCCACATAAAGTGGTCGTTCGCGGAATTCGACATAATGAGACTCCCTCGAGTAACTCTGGTGGGTAAAGCAAATAGTAGATAACCTCCGTAACAAGAGCACGGTCGACTATAAATAAACGAGGCACTCAAACGCCGGGCATGTGGCAACATTTAATGCACGTCCACTCAGTTGTCAGGTTCAGATAATTTTTGCTCCTTTTGGCTTGTGCGGATGTTTCACTGTTCATTTGAAGTGATATAGAAAGAACTAAAATTGGATCGGAAATCAGAATTTCCAGTAATTTTATATATCATTCCAATTCCGTTCCAAATAAACTCGGAAGAATCATAAATCGGAATGAAAAATACCATTCCAAATTCGGATATTTTCGAATCGGAATTGGTGGAATTCGAAAATTCCATTATGATTTCCACCCCCACATAGTATACATTAATCGAATTGAAAATGAAAGCTACATAAATTAGGTGTTTAATTTTGAACTTAAAATAAAATTAGAAATTAAAAAAAGGGCAAATTGCGGCCACCAAGTTAGGGTTAAATTACGAAAACCCCTCATATTTGGGTAATTACAGTCACCCATCAACTATGTATTATCTTACGAAAAGACCATTCTAGGGGTAAATTTAGGGATGTTAATTCGATAAATCGAACCGAAATTTCGGTACGCCAACATTTCATACCGTTTACTGAACTGAATATACGATTTGGTTCGGTAAATAATTGAATTGCAAAAATATTTAAAAAGAGGAGTGACTGTAATTAACCAATGAAGATGAGTTTTTTCGTAATTTGATCGTAACTCAGGATAGTAATTTGTCCTAAAAAAAAGGAAAAAAAAAAGGATAGATGGATTCGTTGATGTGCAATATAATGATGAGTCTAAAAAAATATTCTAGGTGTAAAATGGTAAAAGAGTATAGACCTGACATAAATTATATAGAGAATATACATATATAGGGAATAGATAGGCCGGAGAAGTAACTTTATCGAGAAGATCATCAGTTTTACTTCTTTGGCGTCTCTACTTTTTGCTATCCACAAAGCCCACTACATAATAATACATCAACAACAATATTATTAATTACAGCAACACTTCTCTCTCTACGTATTTGGTTTCTGGTGTGTTATTATGGAAGGAGAAATAATATCAACGCATTTTTTCACCGTGATGGTGCCTGGTTTCCAGACTCATTTGGTGAGCTCTCTCTCTCTCTCTCTCTCTCTCTCTTTATTTTATTTTTTTATTTTATGTTTTATGAGTAAATATGGCTTCTTCTAAAACAAATTCTGGATTGTTTATATGATTAAATCAAGCAATCAATAAATTTAGTTATTCATAGTGGTTAATTATTTTGAAAGACAGTAGATTCTGATGTAGTATGAATCAAAGGTTTGAGGCATGCTCATTATATTATTCTAAGATAAACACATCTCTAATTAATTATGACTCACCATTTGTTTATTTATTGCTTTGTATGTAATAAAAGAACCTGCCATCAGCTGTTTGTAAGAAGCTAAAAGAAAAGAAATCGAAACGGGCGATTTTGAAAAGTAGTATAGGGAAATGGAAGATCGATGTGTGCAGAAACAACGAAGGGCTAATATGTTTCGAAAATGGATGGCCTCAATTTGTCAATGACCATTGTTTGAGTATCGGAGACTTTGTAGTATTTGAACACACCGGTGACTTTAACTTCAACGTTTCCGTCTTTGATCACACTGCGTGCGAAAAGGAGTTATCTATTGAGTCGAAGAAAGAGCGCCGAGAAAACAACAAGGGTATGCGCGCACACATGTCATATTATCATGTGAGTATTTTGCATGCAGGAAAATGAGCTAGATTTTCTATGATGTAGGAGAATTAGACCACAATAGTCAAACACCACACTTTGTCTTGACAATGAAACCGTCTTTTGCTCGTAGACAACCAAGAGTGGTGAGTAAATTAAATTCATCGTCGTTTTCAAGATTTCAACAAATACGTTCTTTTCGCTATAAATGGAACATTTTGAAACGAGAAAAAATGGTTGCATAAACTATTTGTCTTGTAATAATATTTCAGAATATCCCAAGAGTATTTGTGAGGTCAAACAGTCTCGGTGATAAATCGAGTGCAACTCTACGAGATCCTCATAAAAGAGCATGGCCGGTGAAACTCGTGCTTGAAGCAAATGGTCGGTCACGTGTTCTCATGTGCAGAGGTTGGCACGATTTTTATGTATCGAACGAGTTAAAGGACGGAGATATTTGTCGTTTTGAGCTCAATCTCGGTTCGCTACAAACCAAAAATGCTGTAATGGATGTGCAGATTTCTCGAGCTCTCGTCTAAGAACTCAATCCGCTCGTTCTTGAAGTAATTTTTTTTTGTGTGTGTAATCGATTACCCTTTTGTAGAGCATTCGAGATTCTTGATTTGTCTCTTTACATGGGTTAGTTTTCTGGGGATTTATCTGTTTTCTATTTGGCACACTTAATATAAAATACTTTGTTTTTGCGATTTTACATGTCTTCCCTTTCAGCTTTTCATAAACTCCACATGGCTTTTCACTGGGAAAATCTCCATCCCACGTCGGATTTCCTATTAGAAATTAGCGTCTTTAATACAAAATAAGTGGATGAAAAGTACCACTTGAGGGGTGTGGGGTCGGGAGGGGGAATTTCTCCGGCGCTTATCCCTAACCAAGTCGTTGAATCTCTCCCTAAAAAATAAAAAAATCTTGATATTGAGGTTTCCACCCCTGTTATCATATTTTTTTTTTTAATATGCGAAAATCATTAGTTTTTTGTTTTGATTTTGCTGTTTTGTTTGTTACATAACTTTTTTATGTCAGATTACAACATTTTATTCGATTTTGTCGATTTTTGTTTGGATTTTATTGTTTCTAGCATTGTATATTTTGCTAGTTGTTATTTATTTATATTTAACTGTTAGAATATTACTATTTGCACTTAGCTGTTTATTTTCGATTTTGCTTTTACATTATATTTCATTCCCACTTTGTTATTACATAATATAAGTTGTACTTTACTGTAATTTTGCACTTTAGTGTTATAACAAATGGTTTCATCTCATAACAAAATACTTGTTGAAAATTACTTGTTTTCATTGTTTGAATCGCTTGCATTTTCCGGTTTGTTGTTAACAATTGGATTTGTATATCATTATTTCCATACTTTTATTTGGTTATTGTTGCCACTATTTTGTTATTATTGTAATTTATATTTTTTATCTTGTTGTCTGCAGCTTGAAGTTTGTTGATGTTGTCCCTTATATTTTATTTGATTGCAGTTTTCATTTTCCATTTTCTTCATTATTTTGACAGCTCCGCATTTTTTATTCTGCAGCTCGTAATTACAAATTAATATTAGTTTTTTTTCTTTTTTGGGAACAATTATGGAAGATTTCACATATTTTTCGGTTTGTTTCCTAAACTTGTATTAAAGTAAATGTGTTATGTTGTTGCAAAAATGTGTGTGTGGGTTTTTTCTTTTCTTTTTTGTATGTTGCCGTTTCATAATGTATTTGATGTTGCATATTGCAACAATAATTGCATTTTTACATCTCGTAGTTGCAACTTCGAGCATTGTATTTGTTGTAGGGATTGTATGATGCGCTTTGATATTTTAATATGCATTGATGCAAATTTGTGCATATTATAATTGGAAGCTTTTTTTTGTTGAACTTGCATTTTACCGTCGCTACAACTATAGGCCACAAGAAAACAAACGTGGGATTCATTAGCGGATGACGCCGAGGACGTTATGAAGTTGTAAATTCAATTGGACGTTGAGACTATGTACTTTATGACATCACCCCAGCCAGAATCAATTATGGTAGATTGTAGTATGTTCGTCGACTATATTACAACGCTGCTTGTATCTATTGATTTGTATCTTACAACATTTTGTGTTTAATGTACTGATTTATTCCTAGACAAAAATTGGTTGTTGGTGTTTGTTATATCATCTTTTATTTCATATTTTATCTTTTAAAACTAGTTTATATTGTTCGAGGAAAAATAAACTTGGAGTAGTGATAATTTGAGCAAATTATCATTAGTTCCATATTGTATTGATGTGAAAAGACATTTGTAAAATAATATTTTCGACATATACTAGGTGATTTCATATTCTATTTATATTGCAATTTATTTTTGTTGTTACAAATTACAGTTTGCATGTTGCTACTTGTATTTTGCATTTTGCTACTGCAACTTGCGTTTTGTTGATACAACTTAGAGGGAGGGAGCTGTTAAACGGGGGAAAAAAAAGGGGAGAAAGAGAGAGAGGGGGATTATAAAAAAGATAGACTGAAATGTGGGATTTTGTTCATATTTTCAATAACTAACTATCATAATCTTATATATAAAAGGAAGATATTTTGACCCATAACCCTAAACCTAATCTTGGGTATTTTGTAATTTAATAAATATCATATTTAAATATCATGTCTCTAATTTTCTGCCCCTGCGTTTTAAATACACCGTGTTATATATTTTTTTGATATTTTTTTCTCTTTTTTAACCACCCACTAACTCATCATTACACCATGATCTCAACCCTTTATCCATTTTATTGTTCTATTTAAACTCCTGAGAACTCCATCGAAAATCACATTTTTTTGCCAAACCTCTTCTTCTTGCTCATTTAAAATTTTGTTCTTCTTTCTCACAAATTATTTTCAACGTAACCAATTGCTTTCAACAGGTAAACAATACAATATTTGTTATTTAAATTTATTTATATCATATTTCTAAATTTCACATCACATAATAGTTGCTAGCGATTTTAATTTTTTTTACAACTCAAGCATAATTTTCGTGCACAATGACTCCCCGTATGACAGCCATATGCCTTCACATAATGTTCATCTATTTTATTGTTTGGTTGACCATGGTATTTTTGGTTTTCATTAAATTTGTACCATTCATTTTTTTATTTTATAAACTCATTATCTTTTATCACTTCAGGGGTTACCGTCTGTTAACGTTGGAGGCACAACAATTATTGCAACATTTGTCGCATTGCTTGGCAAGGTGTTCCAACGTCTTCCCAGGAAACCTTGCGTTGAAATAGATTTCACTACAGTACAATCCACGAATGTATTTGTGAAAGATGAATCTGAATCAAATTTCTCACGGAATCGGTCATATTGTGAGGAAATCTCAGCGAACGAGTTCTTTTTAAGCTTTATATATTGTGGCCACTGTTCTTTTTAAGCTGCATATATTGTGGTTTGTTCCGCATTATGACAACAAAGATGTAATTGTTAGTCTTGATATGCTGCTCATATATTCCAAGGTGATATGCAAAATGTTGTTTTTAATTTATTTATTTATTTTAATTATGTCTACAAAATATTCGTATATTGTTGATAATTTATTTATACATTATATATACTTATGGTAGGGTGGCAATGTATATGCCAGCATTCAAAAGCAACATATGAATACGTTCAAAGTTATACTGAAAGAAGGAAAAACATACATGTTCTGTAACCTCATCGTTAGTCCAAACAGTGGGAACGCTCGACTCACTGGCCATCGGGACAAAATTACAAACATTGGATCAACCACCATGACATCATTCGGCGCAGAAGAAATTCCTAACGTTAGCTTTGACTTTATGGAGTTTAAACAAATTCAGAACAACAACAAAGATGATTGATTAATAGGTAAAATTGTAATTTTCAGTCTCTTATTTATTTTCACTCGGTTACAGTGACATCAATTAATGTACTATTTCTTAGATGTAATTGGGCATGTGGTCGAGACAAATCCCACAAAGGAGATATCCATCAACGGAAGGACCAATAAATTACTTGATGTAGTTCTTCAAGACTTGGAGTAAAAATGATTGTGCTTTATAATTCTAAAAGCAAATTTTCTAACTAACTTCAGCATTCGTCTATTAATTATATGTTGAATTTTATTTTTCTTTGTTTTTACGTGGGGAGTGGCAACAAAATTAATTGTGCTTCGTGGAACTCATATGCTGATAAATTGGATGGGTTCTTCATCTATCAGGACCCACAAAGTCCGGTTATTATTATATTGCAACTTGGCAAAATAAAAAATTTTAAAGGTAGATATAGTTATTTGGTTCAAGTAGGTTTCGTTTTTACGTCTTACTTATTTTCATAATAAACATGTCAATGTAATATATATAAAATTATATCACATGTAAAAAGAATATTTCTTCTCACTATAACGGAACAAATCTGCATAAACCCAAACTTGAAAGATGCTCTTAACTATAGGGATATGTAGTATGTTTGTCCTTTCTTTTTCACCAATAATATTTAATATGTGATTTCGTCTAATATTATAATTATTATTGTTTTCATCTTCGACATACATATAGACTTTTGCAAGGAGATGAATCTCTCCCTCAAACAGTATCTCAAATTTAAAGTGAACACGCAATGTCCGTGAATGACGAGTTTCTTTCCCTTGAGAAAATGAGTATTGCCGAGCTGGTCGATGCACTGGATGTAAGTTGTTTTATATATGCTAACATTATAGTGTTCAACATTCCTGCGAGTAAATTTTTATGGATCAAGTGAAATCCAGTAATAACACTGTAATTTAATTTAAAATCTCACAATGTTTAATAAATTTTTCATTATAAGTTTTATTTGTCGTGTATTTAAATAATTACAATATTCCATTTTTTAATACGACCCCGTGCAACGCACGGGTCACGGTTACAAGTGGTTCGGCGAGCATAAATTTCTCACATTTGTGACGGCATTGTGAAGTGTTAACATTAACAAAAAAATGAGACTTTCTTCAGTAAGTTCTAATTGCGAGGAACTGAAGAACTTCTCAGATTAGGTGTTAAGTATAGACGATGGTACTAATGATGATGACAATGATGGAGTTATCGACATTGAGATACCTGATGATTTGCTCATACAATCATCAGGTAACCATTTAGCATCTATTGCTGAAAAAACTTGCCTAAATTTGCTCGCTAATATCATGGATTCTGAATACTTACAACAGCGGGCTATATTGGCACCTACTAATGAAATTGTTGAGAAAGTGAACGATTACATGTTGTCTTTAGTTCCGGAAGAGGAAAGAGTCTGTCTTAGTTTAGATAGTCCATGTACGGCGAATGAGAGTGTTGAGTCACATCATGACATTCATACTATAGAGTTTTTGAATCCTATTACATCTTTAGGTCTGCCAAATCATGAATTAAAGTTGAAAAGAGGTGTGTTGTTATGTTATTGAGGAATATAGACCAGACCAATGGGTTGTGTAATGGTACAAGATTGACCATTACTCGGTTGCAAAATTGCATTTTGGTAACAAATATAATATCAGGCTCTAATGTCGGACAAAAGGTCTTCATTCCAAGATTGTCGTTAAGACCGTCAGATAGTCCGTTTCACTTTTAGAGGAGACAATTTCCCATTATTCTTTCATTCGCTATGACAATAAATAAAAGCCAAGGTCAATCTCTCCAAAATATTGGTCTATATCTTGAAAAGTCTGTTTTCTCTCACAGACAACGGTACGTAGCTATTTTGAGAGTTACCAGTCGAAAATGTTTGAATAAACTTATAGTTGACAAAGAAGGAAATATTTCAAAAAAATACAACAAATGTTTTTTATAATGAAGTATTTCAAAATTTAAGATATTTTTTATTTACAGTTTTTCACATTAGTTCTTCTGTAAGCCTTACATTCTACTATGCATAATGTGTTCTTATTATTTCGTAGAGTGTGAAGATGCAATATCAATTAAATGAATACATTGCCATAAAGAATGAATTGTCACACAACATCAAAGGTTATTGTTTTTCATATATTCTTTTCGTATTTTTTCTTTCAATATTTTTTTTTTGTGTTATTTAAACTCATATAAGATGCTATTGGGAACTGTTAATCTGCAGTAATGTCTTGGATACAGGTGAAGTGCACGCATCTTCTGAGCGGTTAAAGTGCGATTTTTAAGTGTTTTTTTATATGAATCTTTTGAAGTATACATTATATTTGTCATAATTTGTGGTTTCTGATTTAATAATTGTGTTGTTGTGTCTTTTCATTGAAATATGTAACCCCGTGCAACGCACGGGTTCGGTTACTAGTATACCCTAAAAAAACTATCTTAATATAAATATTAATTAAGGGCATTTATGTTAGTAGAGTAATAATTTAATTTAGTTTATATTACATTTATTACTATAATCAACTAACAAAATGGATTTCCATCTATATGAGTTCCAAATAAGGGGGGTCGCCAATTATCCCTAAAAATAAAGGGTTTTTATGCATAAGTCCGTGACCAACCATCTTTATTATTCTAGGTTCATGAGTTATATCTCTTTCGCGAATAAGTCTATCCCATTAATATGTATTATAAATAAATATACATGACAAAATTACCCCAACCTTTTAAAAATAATTCTTAATTGTAACCCCAATTTAACTTTATTTTCATTAATTTTGACCACAAAAATCCATATTTAACTTTTTTTACCGTCGATTTTCGGCATTTTTTCAGATTTGTTTCCCCTATTTTTTTAAGCTGCCTGTTTCCGAAGTTGATTGGCAGTGAAACTTTTTTTTATGCGTTTATTACGCCCGTCGATTAACGTTGACCGTAATTGTACTGTCAATTGACAGTAATTGTACTGTTGTTGACAGGAAAATTACTGTAAATACAATAATATTACTTTGTACCTTTGTATAAGACGGCGGCTATATGCAATCTCACAAATTACTTAATGAAAGACCAAATTTAATGTTTCACTAAATGAATTACTAAATGACTATTATACACTTACTAAAATACAAAACTCCACAACTTCCTTTGTGCAAGACCAGACAAGCAAAACCCATTTTATCTTGTTCACAAACTCATTTCACACAAACTCTTCAAAAAAAAAAAATTCTTCATCTTCTTCAAAAATCTTCAACACCCAAAACCCTCAAATCTTACTAAAACATGCAAATGATACAATTATGGAGTCACGAGATATCAATATGGAGAATTCTATAGAAAAAGTAGAAAACAAACTATGAATGAATGTATTTTTATAGCTAGGTGATCAATTTTTTAGGTTTTCAAAAAGAAAATTCGCGCAGTCAAAATTCAGTACATACATGTCGATTTTTTGTGACAAAAATCGACATCTAGATTTTTTTGCCATAAAATCGACATCTAAATGTCGATTTTTCAACAAAAAATCAACATGTACATGTCAAATTTTCTTTTTTTTTTCTTCTTGTTCTTCATCGTCTTCTTCTTCTTCTTCTTTTTGTTTTTCTTCCTCTTCATCATCTTCTTCTTCTTCATGCTCTTCTTTTTCTTCTCCTTCTCCTTCTCCTTCCTTTTTCCTCCATTTTCTTCCTCCATCTTCTTCCTCCATCTTCTTCATCTTCTCTTCCTCTTGAAGCACCGCCGGTTGGGCGGCGGCAATTCTTCGGCGGCGGATGGGCGGCGACAATTCTTCTCGCCTTGTGTTCTTCTCTTCTCCCGCTAGCGCATTCCCTCTCGTTTTTCAATTTCTCTTTTTTTTTTTGGCATTGCAATAGTAATTAGGTCTAATTTGAATGAATAATATCAAAATCAATATTGGGGTTATATTTGTAATTTTCAGTCTTGTTTTTAGTAAATATATTTATATTTTGGTCTTGCATCAAGTAAGGTCTTGAGAAATTTTGAGATTGCAAATATTGTCTGCCTTTGTATAGTTTTAGAATATCCCAGCATGATGTGTGAGGTATAATAATCTCAAGGAGAAGTCTAGTATAACTTTAATGGATCCTTGAAGAATAGCATGGCCAGTGAATCTCGTGCTCGAGAAAATGGGTCGATTACGTGTCTTATTGGGCAAAATTTGGCTTGATTTTTATGTATCCAACGACCTCAAGATTCGAGATATGTTTGTGTTTTGAAGATCAATCGCTGCTCTATACAGTCGAAAAGTGATTTAATAAAATGCAGATTCCATTGTTAAAAAAAATGACAGGAATCAAATCAATTAGTTCAAAGTTCAAAACTATCTAAAATTTGCTACAAAATAAATGGACTGACATGAAAATTATTGCTTACGGAGGTCTTTGATTGTTCTATTTTTTCCTGGAATCTCTCTACTTGTGCCATCTCATGGAATACAACAAGAACTTGAAGTCCCTCATTCCCTGCATTCTCTTGTTCCTCCGCAATCTTCATTGCCGAAATGGCTGTAGACTCGTTGCAGCAATATAAATCGATAACTCCAAGTGTTGGAATTTCTCCAATATCTAAAGGGATCTCTTCCAATTTGTGTAATCTTCGAAGAACAAGTGTCTCTAGGACAGGAAAATGAGAGCAATCTGCATTCCAGTAAACCAAGTCACAATGTTCTATCAAGAGGAATTTCAGGCGAAGGAATTCCCCTTCAATAGGATTCCACTCGTGTACTCCATCAGCCGAACACATATAATCCAACTTCAAAACTTCAAGATGAGGCAACGAGCCAATTTTTGTCAAATCTTCCCAACAAACCTTTGAACCATGCAAGCTCAACTTCTTGAGCGAACTCGGGAAAGTGAGGTTGTGCAGAAAATCATCCTGATGATACGACGAGCACTTTAGTGATTCAAGTTTATGTAAACGGCAAAGATTGTGGAGACCGTATTGGCACGATCTTTGCTTGAAACGAGAAAACCGTATGTTCACTTTCTTGACATTGTGGGCCCTCTTACAAGCCTCCTCACTCCACTCGAAGTCTACCACACTCTTGAGTGTGTGTAGATTTCGCAAAACAATGTCATCGTTTTGATAGCTCGGAGGAGGATCGGAAAGGTACAATGATTTGATAACCAGGTGCCTAAGTTGTCGCATCTCCCAAATTTGAGATGGTGCGTGAATCGACCCTTTAATAATTAGTGTTTGCATATTCCATAGTAGGGATATTGACTGAGGAAGCTTGCCAGAAAGATTTAATTTTGTATTATAGCGAAGATACCGCAAGGTAACTTGATCAAATATTTCTTTGGGCAACTTGATCTCCTTGTCATCAAATTCGTAAGATACGTTGCATACTCTCAATAATCTATTGTTAAACGGCAACATGCAACCCCTATCGGTACGTATTAACAAAGTACGAGTCGTAAGTGGTGTTGATTTCAAAGCAGGATAGACTTGAGAGTGATGCACTATTGGAATTCCTTCATTTAATACAATCCGACGTCCCCCATCTATGCCTCGTGTAGTGTCTTCCATCATACAAATAAACTTGTCTTTCTTAGCTATCTTTAGACATAAGTCTCTAAGAAGATCATGGATCTTGCAAAGCCTAATTTTTCCGTTCGACCCCAAAACATGTTTCAAAATGAGATTTCTGTCGATGAGATCATTTACGTAACCTCGTGCAATCTCTTCCAAACTTTGGTCTATGCTTGGTTTTATAAATCCTTCGGCAACCCAAATTTTGGTCAATTTGGACACATGTATCGCACTGTCTTCTGGAAAAATTGCCATGTAAAGAAAACATGGTTTAAGATAGGCCGGCAAATAGGTATAGCTCAAAGATAATAAATTCAAGCAGTCATCTTCTTCTCCTGAATTTAGAATTGAGCTCAAATCTTTTGCAATACTTTTCCAATATTCTTGCGTCCCGCGGGACTTTCTAAGAAGCCCGCCAATCACAATAATCGAAAGAGGAAGTCCTTTGCATTTTTTAACAATCTCCATTCCGATATCCTCTAATTCGGGAGGGCAGCCAGCTTGACCAAATGCGCTTTCACAAAATAGTTTCCAACTTTTATCCGCGTCTAGCAAATTCAACTCAAGGCACAAAGAACCATCAAAGTGAATAGCCACATTCGATAGCCTTGTAGTTACAATAACTCGACTTCCATTGTTGTTGTCAGGAAAGAAACGTTTCACATTCTCCCAAGCTTCAATACTCCAAATATCGTCTACAACAATCAAATATCTCCGACCCCATAGCATTTTGTACAACTTTTCTCCTAATAATTGCTCGTCTGTTTCGCTATCGATTTCAATACTTACCCTAGAAAGAAGTTGCAAGAGAATTCCTCTGACACTATAGTTTTGAGAGATAGTGACCCAAGTACGAATATCGAAATGGTACAAAATAAGTGAATGTTCATAAGCATTTTTGGCAAGAGTAGTCTTACCAATTCCACCCATGCCAACGACCGGAATGATTTGCCGGTTGGACGATTGTCCGGTGAGCTTGTCCAAAATTTCATTCAACTCTTCATCAAATCCAACCATAGTATTCTTGTCGGCGATAAAACGTCTTATTGAAGTAGTAACCGGCATCGAATATGCTGGCGGCAAATCATCTTTGGATCCACTAGTAATTTCCTCCTCGAACTCGATAACTTTTTTCTTGATGTAATCCATGTCTTGAATTACCGTATCGAGGTCGAGCAAAGTAATCGAACCACCGTGAATTTGGTCGACTACATGAGATTCGATTACATCTTCAGCCGCAGAGGCTGCAGATGCAATTTGGCTCTCGAGAAGTTGTGCTCGTTTGGTTGCAACTCCATGAGAATAATCTCTCTCTATAAAATTTAGCAAGAAACTAACCTTCATGCTGAGAGATTGGATCTGATCCATAGTGTTGGTAAGAGAAACTAGAGCTGCATAAGCTGCCATCGATCTAATCAATCTTTTTTTCTGTTATTTGAAGAGAGGAAATTGTGCAACGACTTTTTGGAAGTGTCTTGTGTGATTAATTATTTAGAATTCAACTGCCTCAACTTAATTATCAAAAAAAAAAAAAAAAAAAAAAAAAAAAACTGCCTCTACTTGAAGGCTAGTGTTTTTAATTTTTTTTATGGGTTTCGTTTTAGATTATCCTCGTCAGCATGACAGCTCCTCTGTCACTTACTATTGAAGTGAAGACTTTGACTTAGTCTTGTGATGAAAAGTCAAATGTGCTTGCTGCTATTTTGAAAGTGTTTGATTTTCAAAGTATGTCAAGAAATGGGTATACAGTGCTTCCAAAATCAATTTACTATCTCTCTAAAAAGTGGGACTCACATTTAACACTCTCTAAAAAAAAGTTCTCTAGCAGTACATTTAAAACTTCTTAAAAATTTGTCCAAATATCTTAAACAATAATAAAATCTTCTCTCATTTCCTTAATACTTGTCACTTTTGCCATTTTTTTGTATTTCAAATTATTTGTCATTTTACTATTCCAATGAATAATTAATTGCAACCTTTTCAATTTTGTCATTCCTCACTCATAATTAAATGAAATATGATTAGTTAAAAATCAATTAATGGCATGGGCATTTTAGTGATTTACTATACCTTTTGTTATTATTTATGCATATTTATTGAGTTTCTTAATATGTGTGCAACTAACAGAAGTGACAACTATTGAAGGAAGGAGGGAGTATTAAGGAAGTAATATAATAATGTAATTAAATTTGAATCTTTGTATTTAATTACATTAATTTCGTATAAAATTACATTAATTAAATATTAGTCACCGTTTTTATTACGTTGTAAGATGTATGATTTTATTTTGTTTGTATCTATATTTATATTGATAAAATAATACAAAACATTCAACAAACATAAAAGAAATAAAATTAACAAAGTACATAATAGATTGCAGTAAATTGAACAAGCTTGTTGGAACATCCCTCTAACTGTAGACATAAATAGATTAAAGAAAAAGACTTGTATAAAATTAGTTTTTACTTTTTCTAATACGGCTAAAGATCTCTATTTGTTGTTCAATAATCCAAATTTTACCTTCCTCTGTAGGTGCAGATTGAGGATCCATCAACATTATTTCTTGCTCGCGTTGTTTTTGTTGATGTTCTTGTTTTGCTGCAATTTCTATTCTCTTTGTTTCTATTTTAGCTTGTAATTTGTGTTGTTCGATTGCATTTCTCCTAATACCCTCCTCTTCAAAGCTACTCGATTGTTCTTTTCTCATATTAGAAAACTCCTTTACAAATAAATCGATGGAATCGAGATTTTTCTTTCTTCTAGCATTTTTTGCAGTTTTGCGACCATGATGACGTGGTAGTCCATGTGCGCCATCATTACATACTCCATCATCAATTTCATGGCGGGTTGAAGTTGGAGTCGTAGTTGGGGCTGATTGATCAGATGATGGAGGTTGGATATTTGATGAATCTTCAATTTCATCATAATTCAAATCAATTTCAACCCTTTTTTTTCCGAAAGTTTTTTCCTGCTTTCCCTTCTGCTCAATGGTATAATTATACCATTTGGAAGTGTCTTTCAAAATCATCCAACAAGAGTCATATTTGAATTGATGCTCTTCTTTGTCATTATATAGTTGTTTTGTGATGGTGGTTGAGAGCTATACTCAGGATTGATTCCATAATTGAAGGAAAAACGAGGATTCATAGTAAATTGAGAGGCTTTATTGTTATAACGAGGATTCATAGTACATTGAAAGCCGATTTAGAGGCTAAATCTTTAATATAACTCAAAGTCTAAACTCGATGAGAAAAGAAAGTCAATATAGAGGCTAAATCATTAATATAACTCCGAGTCTAAACTCGTTGAGACAAGAAATCCAATATAGAAGCTAAATCGTTATAACTCCGGGTCTAAACTCGTTGAGACAAGAAAGTCGACTTAGAGGCTAAATCACGAACATAACTCCGAGCCGAGAAACTCGTTGAGTCAAGACGTTGGAATTCCATTCAAATAAATAAAATATAGCTTCGAGTCTAAGCTCGTTGAGATAAGAAAGCTGATTTAGATGCTTAATCGTTAATATTACTCCGATTCTAAACTCGTGGAGACAAGAAAGCCGATTTAGAGGCTAAATCATTAAATAGCTACGAGCCTAAGCTCGTTGAGACAAGAAAGCCGATTTAGAGGCTAAATTGTTATTATAACTCCGAGACTAAACTCGCAGAGATAAGAAAGCCGATTTAAAGGCCAAAGAGATGAAAATAACTCCGAAGTTGAAGCTTGTAGAGTCACTAGACACGGTAAAACCCGTCAAGAGCCAACTTAGTGGCTATCACTAACAAGCCCAAACTTACGGGGCTATCACTAACAAGCCCAAACTTACGGGGCTTTGGGGTTATTGTATACCCACTGTGTGTATATATATATACTGCCGATGTATGTTAAGGAGTGATTATAACTTGTTGTAGCTTAGTGTAATAGTTTTTCTAAATCAATCTCACATTAAGAGCAATATTTATAAATATTACTTTGATAATTTTGAGCATGCACAAATTATTAGAATATTTTCCAGACAATCCTAGTTAACAATTTCACGAATCCGAGAATTTCTGTGAAGTCTTTATGTAATATATTGAAGGTGCAATTCCTGAGATTGAGTAGTTTTGAGTGTATCCATGTATAACCTCTTGGATGATGTGATTCCCAAGATAGAGTTGTTTTGAGTATACAAACATGTACATATCTCCCTTGATGATATATTCGTAAGGTTGAGCTGATATTTTGTTCATGCGTACATGAACAACATGGATAAATATGACTATTGCCTACTTGTTAGTGCAACTACACACTCAATATTCAATAATAAAATATATTTGTCACTTGTGACATTGTGCAAGGCACAAATTAAAATCATATCAGATCCCGATGAGGTAATAGATGACCCGGGAGTGCAATAATTATGTTGCCTAATGGTACCTCGTATGCTTATTATCTACGCAAAATATAGCATTTGCTCGTTTGCTGGCACATATTATTGTGCATCTCTAAGAATAAATGTCGAGCACCCAGTAGCATACGTTCACACTCAAAATGGACTGGCATAATCTTTGATTAAACGCATCCAAATAATTGCTCGTACTTTGCTGATGAGATCCAAAATCACTGGTGCAACATGGGGCCATGTAGTATTACAAGAATCAACACTGATTAAATTGCGCCCCACTGTTTATCATGTGCATTTCTCAATGCAATTGGCATTAGGCTTTGAGCCTGATATTTCGCACCTACTCACATTTGGTTGCACTGTACAAGTGTCAATTCCTCCTCCTCAGAGGACTAAAATGGGTCAACAACGTCGACTTGGCATATATGTTGGGTTTGATTCACCGTCAATTATTAGTAGGTTCTTGCAACCAATGATGGGTGATTTATTTACCGCTGGATTTGCGGATTATCACTTTGATGAGACATTATTTATACCGATTGGTAAGGATATTCAAAATATCCGTGATAATGTTAAACATATACCAATCGAGAACCTCACATGGTGTGAGCAACATTTATATCATCTAGACCCACGTACCTTTGAATGGGAAATGAGATCATTCACAAAATATTGCCAATACACTTCCTGATAAATTTAATGATGCCAGTAAAGTCACGAAATCTTATATTCCAACTGTGATAAGCCAGCTAGCTAGGATCGTTGTTCCTGAAGAACATGCAAAAATGGATGATGATCCCGCACGACAAAAACGTGGTAGACCTATTGGATCAAAGGACATTGTTTCTCGAAATAAAAAAGGGGAAAATCAGTGACCCTCAAATGAGGAGGTTCCTATTGAGAATGCTTCAGATGAATCTGTTGAGCCTGATATCGAAAAAGCAATATCAAATCTGGGGAATACCGAGAATTCCATAAGTTATTCCAATAAAATATGAGATAGAAATGAAATAATCATCGAATTTTTTTTACATTATTGGTTCCTCAATACATCATATATACGATGATTATAACAGTGAATCGTGTTCTATAATATGCAGGTATTTCTTGACGATTTACCAAATATGCACATTCGCTGTCATTTATGAATATAATGTTGCTTAGAGCATATATTAGGCGATAATAAAAGGTGATCGAACCAAGTCCTTCCCGACTTTTACATTTCAGAAATCGGTATACGGTATTGGAATGAGAAGAGTTGATAAGGAGCAAGTTGATAGCTCACCCCAGAGGTTTTCACTGCTAATTTCAGAGGGAGTAATAGTGCGCTGCACTCACTTTCCCTTTTGACTGGTTTTGTCCTGTTGGGTTTTCCAACAAAGGTTTTTAACGAGGCAGCTTATGCACACGGCTTGGATTAAGTTATGCATTCTTTTTCCCTTCTGACCGGTTTTTGTCCCACTGAGTTTTCCGACTTGAGGTTTTTGACGAGGCATTTCATATATTTTACTCATCCGATTTGCAGCCGCTATCGATAATACTTGCTCAAAGGGAGTATTATAATACATATCCATTGATTCTTATGAACTAAGTCGTGTAAAATAAGTGTCAATCTTGTGCATCCTCCAATAAGCATGACAATGCTTCTATTTATTTTCTACCGGTGGGGTTGGTTATTTGTGGCTGGATCTGACTGAGTCTCAACAGGTCTAGTTGTGGATGAACGCATCTGATCAGGGGCGTCCGGTGTATTTGGGGACCCGGAGCGAGGATATATAAATTGTACCCTTAGTAATATGATGTTTCGTGAATTCCCTCATTGTATTGTTTTTTTTTTTTTTTTTTTTTTTTTTTTGCCATGTTATGTTTAATGACATAATATAAATAATATGTATTAATATAAACTTCATTATCAGTTAATGATTGAAAATATTAATGCAATCTAAATATTTTAATTGTAAAGCAAATGTTAGAGAAGTATCCAATAATTTCTGTTTGAATAAAATAAAGGTTGTATCTT